TTGTATATGTTTGAATTCATGTTTTCAGAATACTTCTTATTGTCTACTCTGTATTGGTTTTATCTTCTTGTTTTGATTATGGAAATCTTTAATATCTACAATTATATGTGTATCTTCTTGTGGTACCATCTATATAAAGACAGTATATTGTTGTGCAAACTTGTGGTACATTAATAAATTGTCCATGTATATGTTTGAATTCATGTTTACAGCTATTGATCAAGCAGAACAGGGCTTATCAATATCACCAGGTGGTACTAATTGGTATACTCCTGTAGTCGAAGAAGTTCTCAAGCCTATTATAGGATCTGTGCATCCGTCATTGGATGTAGCAGAATCGATATACCAAAAATATGCTGAGACGGCTGGATTTTAGGTACGACGATCAACCCAAAAGATTAATCTTGATGGTGTAATACATAATAAATACTTCGTATGTAGTAGGTTTGGTTTAACATTGAAAAAGTCGTTTGATTTGATGGTACGCCGTAAACATCAAAGAGAAGTGCGGTACTCCAATATTAAAAGGACCGGGTGTACAGCAAGTGTGAAGTTCCGATTGATGAAAGAAACAACAACATATGAGTGTTATGGTTTTGAAGAGGATCACAACCATTCACTTTTGAGACACGAGGATATGGATTTGACCAGAAAAGGACGCCAAATGAAATTTTCAGATCAGCGATTTGTTCATGATGYCGGAATCTCAAATATGGGTGCCACACGGGCGCATAAGTTGCATACGTCTCTAAGAGGAGGGTACGAATACGGTGGTCCAACGGTTGTCGATTATCAAAATTATAAGAGGAACTGTGACAATTTTGTCGGTCGTGGTGATGCAAAGGTGTTGGTTGATTTGATGACAAAGAAGAGGGATGCTGATCATAATTTCTTTTTCGAGTACAATTGTGTTGGTAGCGAGTTGCATACTATYTTCWGGGTTGATGAAGTAGCTCGATTCAATTATTCTGAATTTGGAGATRTAATATYTTTTGATGCTACATTCCGAACAAACAGGTTCATATATTTTGCTTTAAAAGAAGATGGCCTTATTTATAAACTACATTTACTGATATGTTTATTGTTTCAGACATTCCATGGTTTTTGTGCCCTTCACTGCGGTTGACAATCATAACTGCAATGTCGTTGTTGGATCGGCTTTGGTTGGACATGCGCATGTTCCAAATTACAAGTGGCTACTCCAAGCATTTCAGAAAGCACATTCAAAGCCCCCTATGATGATTCTTACCGACCAATGTCCTGCAATGAAGCAAGCAATTACATCAGTCTTTCCAGATTCAAGGCACAGACTTTGTATTTGGCACATCATGAATAAAGTTCCAAACAAGGTTATAAAGAAACCGAAAAACCTTTACTTGCAGTTTAGTTACATAATTAATTCTGTTTACTCTTTATTTTCTTACATAATTAATTTACTTGCAGTTTAGTTACGATCTTCTTAATAATACCACGTTTAAGAAACAATTTTTCAAGCTCGTATGGAACATTCACATATCACCTAATGAGTTTGAGAGTAGATGGATGGTTCTTATCGAGGAGTTCTCCCTTCAAGATCATCCATGGTTGAAAGATATGTTCGCTCTAAGATCCCAATGGATACCCGCGTATTTTAAAGAGCTTCCAATGTGTTGCCTCATGAAGACAACATCCAGGTCGGAAAGTGCGAACTCCTTCTTTAACTCTTTTTCAAAAAGTGGAAACAATCTTTTTCAGTTTATGTTGGGGTTTGAATTTGCCTTGGAGAAACAACGTTGGGAGCAACGCCGTCTTGATTATCACACGAGAACTACTTTACCTAAATGGTTGACCTATAGCTAGCTGGAGAGGCACGCCTGTGAGATTTACACGCGTTTTGTATTTTTTGAGGTACAAACCGAGATACACAGGGCTGCCTGGACATGTTCAATTAAGAGTGTCGATTCAAATGAGAAAGTTGAAACATATTTAATTGAACATTTAGACAATAGAGATGAGAAAATAGCAGAGTATAAGGTATGATCGTATAGAAAGTCATTTGTTATTGGTTTTATATATTATTGTTTTTCTTTGAACAACATTTCGATTGTGATATTTGATGTTAGACGTTTATATTATGCACAAGTTGTTCGTAACTTGAAGGAGTCTACCGTTGTTTGTAGTTGCAACTACATCGGTCGTCATGGTTATTTATGCAGACATGTGTTCAAAGTTTTACTAAACGCCGGTGTTGAATTTATACCTGAAGAATACATTTTGAGAAGATGGAGACATGACCTTATACCTATTGAACTTCAAAACAGTCGTCAAAGAATATGCGACGTAGGCGAGGATCAACGGAGAATAATTAACGATACATATGAAATCATCGATGATGTGTTGGATATATTAAGAGATGACAAAGAAAAACTAGAATCATTTGTGGCTACACTCAAAGAAATGAGAGATGATGTAGCCAAAGATCGCACATATGAACCTTCGATGAAACGTAAAGAGCGTGGAATAGAACAAATTATTGGTTTTACAAGACCTGATAACATTGAGATACATCATGCTACCGGTATAAGAAACAAAGGTTGTGGTACGTCGAAAAGATTGATTGGTGCAGCTGAGAAAGCAGCAGTGAAGAGTAGCAGGCCTAAGAGGATGTGTAGGGGATGCAATATGATGTTTAATCATGATATCCGTAACTGTCCAAATAAGACAAAGTAGGACTATTCTGTTTTTTATGTTTCCGTTCCATTTCTTTTTATATAAATATATTTATCAGTTTTTTTATGATATCAATTGAATTGAATTCATAGTTGTTATCGTTTTTTAATGGAATTATATATGTTTATGTACTGTGTTGAGTATAAGTTATATAGATATAAAATATAACTGGTTAAGTTGGTTTAGCAATTCTTGACTATTTACATGATGCATGATTCATGGTTAATAGTTATGATTCAATGTGGAACAATATGATACATAATATAAATTAACTTGATAACAGTTTTCACTATATAATTCATGATTTGTATTTATGGTTTACTGTATGAAGTAATGTGAGACAATGTGATACGATGTGATACATATGATACATAATCACCCAGTACATACATGTGTGATATCAGTTTTAGTAATTACTTCATGATTCGTAATTATGATACATAGTCCATACATGTATTGCAATATGTGATACCAACCATTAAACAACTTAATGAAATTAGACAACATATGAAATACGCAGAACAATTTATGTATTTAACAAAAAATTTCGAAATATCCATTTCATATAAGCTAAATACCAGACGTTTATGTCTTAAATACAAAAACCCAGCTTAACATATCAGTTAGAGAATCTGTTCCAAACAAGTTACAAAAAGTAACTACCATTTACTGTATACTATATGAAATACTATTCCAAAACAGTTCTTAAATACTTGCGAGCCTCGCTTCCCTGTTAGATTCTGTGCATTTAAGCAAACGCGTTTTCTCCTTCAAATCCAGTACGGTGAACTTTTCACAATCTGCTATCACAAATGGTCGTCTAATGTTGATCTCTGAAAGCAATAGTTTAGCAGTGTATTTCCTTCTCAATAATTGGAGTTGTTTGACTTGGTTTGCTCCTTCCACATCTAGTCCTGATTTCCAACGGTAAGGCAGCTCCCCCATGTAGCACTCCATATGACGCATCAAGAATACACCATAATCATGAGAATTCCGTTTAGTAGACCATTTCAATGCTATCTTCACCGGATCTATCCCAACAAAATCTTCATACAATGGATGACCTACCTTCTTGAGATGTTGTATCATCAAAAAATGCTACAAGAAAACGATAAATATGACACTCAAATCATTGTATAAATAAACATAAAATGAATGAATTAAAAATATAGTTTGTTTGAAGTTCCTCACCAAAAGATCCGGTATTTCCTCATATTGGTTAGGTGCTTCAAGATCTTGCTGAAGGTTATCTATAACCATTATGGAAGGACGTTTGAAGTTGAAGACCACCACAAAGTAATGCATGTCTCTAACGATTGGAAAGAATAACTGCAATTGGTTGTTGTGTGTTAAATATAATATCTAAAAAGAAGTTAATAAATGTGGTTACTGCATATTAACTCACCAAGTCAATTGATTTGAAGGTAACCATGTTTGCATCACCTCCAACAGCTGCCAATAGATTGTCAACAAACATATCCAGCTTCACATCCTCCTTTATTTTTGAATCAAGCATTGTTGTTGACTGGTTCAACCATTTCGTTGTTAGAAATTTTACAGGTTTGTATAAATGATTTACGTTATTTATATAAGCATACTTACAAGAATTGCGCTATGCATAAAAAGCATTCTTGGTGATGATTTGTTCCTGAAACTATCGTCCCTCTCAACGCAATGGCTCCTGATTTAGTCTCAAATATAGATTCACTGCATCATATAATCGAAAGTAGTAAGTTAATACCATACTTTATCTGGTATATGTATTAAACATAATATATTAAAAGGTAATGGTACTTACCAAGTTGATTCTGTTGATGCATTTATCCAATTGCATATTTTCTTCTCAAAGCTTGTCTCTACTTTATCGATCTCCACACATCGTTTAACATATGGAGATCTTAGTGATTCCCCTAAGTTTGCATCCCTTCTTGATGCTTTAGGTGCATCACATATTGATTCCACTTGTGCGTTTGGTGAAAACAACGATTTTTTGAAGGAAGGGATGTATGAAAGGGGTTGCGGATTCTGGACAGTCTTATCAGGTGAAATACCTAAATCAAACTTTGGTATTTCATTGTTCTTGTTTTGCATTTTCATGGCATATGAAATGAACGAATTATCTAGTTCCATATGAGTTCGTGGACTGTTCCAGATCGGTGAATCGACAAGGGATGCACCTGGTACAATCTGCATTCCAGCAGTTAAATCGGGGCTTTTTTCCAAATCTCTAGATTCCTTCTACATCCTTTTCTTTGACCCCTTCGCAGTTCTCTTTGGCGTTTGAAACAATTGAATTTGAGTTTCATTGTTCACAACATCTCCTGTAGAAGTATCTTCTTGTCCGAACATACTTTGCAGCTCCCTGCTCATTATCCTCAAGTCTCTATCCAAAGGGAAATCTGATATGGCATTGTCTATCAACATCYCAGTGCTTTGTTTMTGTGCTAAGATCGAATCCATCTTTGACCTTATACAATCCTTGTATTCCTGTATGTGTTATTTTAAACAAATAATACATYAGTATGTAATTAGTAGAATGCAAACCATAATGTAGCATAACATGTCCAACTGTTGTGGTATCATGTGGTACATATTACTGTGTTGGTTTCATAGTTACATTCTCATTCCCCAAAGGTTGTGGACACATGTGGTACCTAAAACATTCATGGATACCACAGTGATTAATGTGACTGCAAGCAGTTTGGAAATGGGAATGTATCTAAGCAAACACATGTGGTACCTATAACTATGTTAACATGTGGTACTTACTACTGTGTTGTTTGCATAGGTACATTCTCATTTCCCAAAGGTTGTGGTTTCGTGTGGTACCTAAATCATTCATGGATACCACAATGATTAATGTTTCTGTGCAAACAGTTTGGAAATGCAAACACATGTGATACCTATGATTGTTCTTGTTTGATATATACATTTTCAAGTTGGATGAGATGATATCATTACCTGTTGCAAGTACCACATGAAAAAACATATTTGGGAATGGGTATGTATCTATGCAAACAGTTTAATGTGTCCAAATTTCCTGTATCTTGATTAATATACATAAGATTGAATAAGTTTCATAAATACCTCCAGCTTAGTCTTTGATGAAACTTTCTTAGCCGCTGTTYGTTCAACRAAATCATCCGGTGATCTGTYCTTMTCTGTTCCATYGTCAGCAATAAGTGGCCAGGTTCCAAAACCACCATCTTTCAATTCCAAATACTCCCTAYGTCRGAGGTAATCCATATTCCACACAGTAATARCTGRCCACCTTCRTTCAASTTCAAACTTCTTGCATTCTGTCAAGTCCGCATACAAAAGCTTTGTACAATAAAATGTGAAAATTGGTTAGTATACAATAATCAATTTGCTAACATAAMAAGYTGCAAACTAAGAATACACGTACCGTCAAGAACRTTATTGGACCTGAGTAGAACGTCTCAATGTTCTTTTCCYTATTCAGTGTGTCCTTGCTGGTTCTTAGGYAATCAAATACATATTTRSTCCAATCTATCTTTGMTATGTCAGTGTCCTCTGTTAGGTAATTGAGAACCGCAGGGTTGCAATGACCACAAGAATTGCATTCTGCCATGGTGGAAAGAAACAACATCAAAAAGTTAATCCRAAACTCGAAATCTRCATTATCGGACTCTTMAACTTTCTTCATCACATCGGATAWTCGTACTCTTTTGCCAGGGAATTGTGATCTCCAAGACTTCTTTAAATTTTTGTTTCGTGGAGCTGGGTCTGTCAAATAAATATCAACTCCTCCAACTGGGTCCCCAACATATCATGCACCATCTTCGTAGTCAACTTAATTGTCCCTTGGCCCAATCGAAGCTCCATCGTGTATGTGTCCATCTTGTCCACCAAGTGAAATGCTAATTTGGAAGATATGTAATCTGTCCTCATCTTCAATATACCACCAAACCCCATTTCTTCAACCGCTTTCTTCTGATCATCATTCAGGGACTGAATAGCCACACACAGTGGCCTAGGTGTGGTCCGGACTCTGATGGTTTGCATAGTACCTGACTTCTTCTTTCTAGTGCTTTTAACGAC